AAAACTTTTATATCTAAGGATTGAAAATTTAAAACAAGATTCCAAGTAAGAAGTTTATTCTGTTACCAAAAAATCTAAAAAATACATAAGCAGTTTATTTTTATAGCCATTTTCAGTTCAAATTTGGACGAAATTACATATTAAAAAACCTAGAATAACTATTTTAGTTGTTTTGTTGTGATTGTATAATATTATTCGTAGGTACTTGAAACTTCTAAAGTACACTATTATACAGGGTTATTCAAAATGATTCATCCAATTTAAAATGGCTATATAAAGATCTGACGCCATGTGATTATTTCTTTTGGGGATATGTTAAAGACACTGTGTACATACCAGTATACCACCACTGCCATCAAATCTAGTTGAATTGAAAAATCGAATAACAACAGCCATGTAGTCTATGCTGCAAAAAGTATGGTATGAATCTGACTACCGACTAGATGTTATTCGTGTAACCAAAGGAGCTCACATAGAACATTTATAGATACAGTTAATTAAACTTGACATATTTTTCTTTTATTTAATGTATAACATATTGTTCTAAACCTAAAAAATAAAATAATATAAGCACTTTAAATCGGCTGAATTATTTTGAATAAACCTGTATATCTCTGATAGTATCAGGGTTTGTTGTTGTTGATATAAAACGCGTTATAAGTACCTAATGGATATTGTGATATGATTAATTTGGAATTTATTATAAGTAAATTTTTTTTTAATACCATAAATAAGTATATAATATGTCTTATACCTAGACTGACATACCGTCTCCGCTCAGAATCGTTTTTCTTATACAATGATATTATATCATTGAATTCAAATTTAATACCATCCATTATACAGTGACCCACTTGTAACCTACTGTACAGCAGAGCACCTTTTTTTCAATTTAAGTTCAAAAGTTTAAATTCATTTAAGTTAAAATGATAGGTTGGCTAAATTTAAAAAGAAAGAATTCTTACGTTGCTGATGAAAAGACTCCATGTATGAAAAAAGAAAAATCAACTAAACTTCGTAAGTATGATAGTAATTATTTATCAATGGGTTTCACGTGCAACGGATCTGTAGGAGAACCACAACCTCAATGTGTAATATGTTTTGAGATATTATCAAACGGGGCTTTAAAACCATAAAAACTAAAAAGACACCTTGAAACCAAGCATAAAGAACATGTCATGAAATCCGTTGATTTTTTTAAAAATAAAGAGCATGAATTAAGAAAAAATATGAAAATTATCAAAAAAACTGCAACTGGTTGTACAAATGAAAGCGTCGTAAAAGCATCGTATGCAGTTTCTTTACTTATTGGGAAATCACTGAAACCTCACACGATTGCAGAAGACTTGATAATACTTGCTGCAAAAGCTATGGTTTCTGCAACGATAAGCGAAGAAGCTGCAAATAGCTTAAATAAAATTGCATTGTCAAATGATACAATAAAAAAACAACTTGATGGTTTATCAGGAAATATTAAAGAACAGTTTTTGAGAAGAATTAATAAAAGTGACTACTTTAGTCTCCAACTTAATACAAGTACAGATATAACTAATAAATCTTTATTACTATGTTATGTAAGATACGAATACGAAATTGTCATTTCTGAAGACATTTTGTTCGTAACCACTGTGGTACACACTACACCAGAAGAAATATTTTGTAAAATTAATGAATTTATTATAGAAAATGAAATTGAATGGACAAAATGTGTAGGAGTTAGTACAATTGGTGCTCGCGCAATGTCAGAAAAATGTATAGGATTAATGCATCTGGATTAGAAACATCATACCATCAGTCACATAGCATCGTTGTTGCATTCATCGCAAAGCAATAGTTTCCAAAAAAAATACCAATACAATTGAAAACAGTTTTGGACGAAGCTGTAAAAATTGAGAACTTTATAAAAGCAAATTAATTGAATTCAAGAATTTTGGTACAACTTTGCAAAGACATGGCTAGTGAACATAATCAATTTCTGTTGCACTCTGAAATTCGTTGGTTATGTCGAGGTAAAGACTGCAGGCGCGGATCCAGAACAGATTTATGGGGGGGGCCATCAAATATTATTAATAAAGTTTATCAGGGTTTAATATGTTAATATTGTTCGACATCAGGATAATGATGATTAGGTTACCTTTAAAAAGACCAAAAAATAATTAAACAAAAATTTTTTTTTTGAAATATTTAGGTTACTCAATCTTACTTTATTGGTTATAAAATATTTAATTACATTACTTTTTCTACATTTAAACTAAATTTTACTATAGTTAATAATTTACGATAAATTCTAATCAAATGTACAACTTAAAATCAGCTTAATTTTCTTATGACTTATGGTCAGGGGCGGATTGGGCCACCGGGAATTCGGGAGTTTTCCCGGTGGGCCGCTTTTTCAAATAACTATCTATTCTTAAATTCCTATTAGGTACCAGCCCAGTAAATTTGCATTTTTTTCCGATTTTTCAAAATAAGATAATACGAATTGGATTGCGGACAGTATGCAATAGTAGGTATATCCGGTAGGCAATCTATTTACGGTGGATTGCTGACACAACGATGAGAGACAGGAAGCAAAAATATAGTATTTCTCGAAAAACAAAAATAGCAAATGTAATATAGCGGGGTCACTAGTTAGGACAGTTAAAATCGAAAACAACCCTTGATATGTTATGTAAAACCACATTGGGTGATCTCTAGGTAACGACAAACTTCGGAAAAAGTCTACTTTACTTGACATCCCGCGGATGTAGAAAATAGAAAAAGTCAACCTGATTTGAGCAGTAAGCACTGTAATATCGAAAACTAGACAGGGTTTAAATTTCCGAAAATTGTTTCATACACTTTTTAATTCAGTATACTAATACAGTAGTACACGTATTTCGGGTGTAAAAAATTTGAGCGTCATTCGTTTGGGCGAATAACCCAAAATTAACTTGAGTAAAGAATATATCATTTGGGCGAGAAATTAACCGATCGTTTAGGCAAATTTATAAATTATTGAAAAATAGAGAAGTAACATTACGTAGATATACAATAATTTTTATAATATTTACTATTTAGGTACTACAGCTAAATATTATTATTATATCGTTTCGGCTAATTGGTGAATACAGCTGATAGTGAACTATAATTTGTTAGATTGTACTAAGACGGAGACAAAACATTTTACTCAATATTATATTACATAAAAAATAAAAATACTAAAGACAAACAAGACTATACATTTTTTCTGGTTGTTTAGATTTTAAGTACAATGTACATACATAATGTTATTATGAATAAACTACAGTAAAACATTTTTTTAGAAAATAAAAAGATACACATACATTTTGCATGTTGATTCTGTTAATTTACCTATCAGGTATATTAAGTGGAAGTAAATTATAAGCTTTTATTTAAGTCTAAAAACGCATTATTAAATATTATTGAATAGGTAATAACCTTTCTTATTAAATACAAAAATCGTAACATTAGTAATTTAAATTATTCACTTTTACTGTGTTATATAAGTACTTGGAGTTTGGACTATTATAAATGTGTAAACATAAACTGTTCAAAAATAAAAATAAATTTGATATCGATGTATAATGTATATATATACACTACGAATAAAGTTTTATAAATTTCATATCTCGCCAAACGTGTAGTTATGTTAAAATAGTAATACATAATAATATTATGTTGGCTAAAATTAAATATTTGGTAAATTGGTAAGTGGGCCGGTATACTTTGTATTTTCCCGGGCCGAAATCTCTCCCCAATCCGCCCCTGCTTATGGTTTTCAAATTGCAAATGGAATTTTTCTTTTGCTTTTGGAGAAACGTTCAATTAATTTTTCAACAAATACGTAGTTTGTCGGTGGTACCCAATGATTTATTAAAAGTTCACTCTTCGTATAATCGTCAATATTTTTTTCAATATAATCTCCTATGTCATTAGTATGAAGATGAAAATCATGACTAGAAGATGCTAATCAATGTTCGAATTAAGATCTTTTACTGAATTGTCTGAAATATTTTCTTCAGGTATACTGCTTTCAACTGTGATTTTTTTTGAAATAGGATTGAAAAATGAACTAATTTTTGAAGAAGGACGTTTTTTATCAGTAGTTGAGGCCTACGAAATTAAAGAAAATGTAATAGTTTTAAAATCATCTTATGATGACAATATGAAGTAAAAAATGTCGGTCGTATAAATAAAATATGTAGTAAATTTATTAAAATATTAAAAAGGACGAAATATTACATATTATTTTTTTTATTTCATGTTATTTAAACGACATTTTGAGTATTGTACAAAATATAATGTACAAAATATGGTTTTTAATTCAAATAATCAAATCAGTGGCAGTGTATTAAAATTCAAAATACAGATTACTTACCATTTTTAAATACGCTCGTTTTCTCGCAGTGCGTTGAACGCTGTCCGCATCCCGTAGAAAAATGATAATGTTATATAATATTCAATATTGTAGCAATAGAATTAATGGTAAAAGTAATATCTGCGATTCTGACGATAACGTGAACGGTCACGGCATCGTTAGCCTACGCCACGCCGGTCGCCGACACAATTAGAAATTACAGAAAAATTCTATAAATAGAATTGTCCGAAAACCAATATCAATTTTACGAAACATTATAATCTAATATAGAAATATTTAATAAGAATAATTCGATCTATTCTATTATCAATGTTATTATTTTTTTCACCGGCCTCATCTTTTTTTTTTTAGATTTGGGGGGGGGCCATTGCTCCCATGGCCCCCCCCCTTGTATCCGCGCCTGGGTAAAGTGCTCTCTCGTCTATTTGAATTGAAAGATGAGGTAAGATTATTTTTTATCGAACATAAATCATTTTTGTTGAGTGAAAGCGTGAATGATTATTCTTGGTTGGCTACTTTAGCATACTCATCAGATATATTTACTCATTTAAATGCACTTAACTTAAGTCTTCAAGGAATACATGTTACAATTTTCAAAGTTGAAGATAAGATTGAAGCGATGATTAAAAAGTTGGAACTGTGGAATCTTTGGCTGTCAAAGAAGAATTACGATCCATTTCCAAATCTCAACAATTTTAATGAAACAACTGAAGAAGAATTGTCAGATAAAGATTCTAAATATTTCATACAACATATGAGTGATATGCAACGTAGCTTCCGTGATTACTTTCCTATTCCAGATATAAGTAGAAATTGGATTCGACAACCTTTTGAAATTGATATTCATCAAATAAATGGACTGACATCATTGGAAGAAGACAGCATTGTAGAAATTTCTTCAGATACTAGTTTAAAAATGAAATTCAATCAAAAGTCATTAGATAATTTTTGGTTGCATGTTCGAAAAGATTATTCAGAACTATCCTGTAAAGTTCTGAAAGTTTAAATTCCATTCCCCACAACTTATTTATGTGAAAAAGCCTTCTCTGCCCTTGTTTATATAAGGAATAAGTTTTAAAACAGAATAGGAAACTTTGAATCTGAACTAAGATTAAAGCTTTCTAGTATTGAGCCCGATGTTCAAAAACTCGTAACTGAAATGCAACATCAACCATCGCATTAAGACTTAATAATTAAGTAAATAAAAATTAAATTTATTAAAATAATATATATTAATTTCTTTTTAATTAAAATGTTTAATGATATTTAAAATATCCCACCAAAAACATATATGTAAAATGAGAGCCAAGTTCAATACTATAATATATGCCTTGGTTGTTGACTTCAACGACAAAAGAAGTGAGATCTAAATGGGTGCCAAGTTAGGATAATATATTGAAGCCTAAGGTGTGACTTGGCTACTTTTCATATACGAATAAATTATTATTATAAGTACCTACTAAAACAGTAATGGAAGAGTGAAGATGATTTTCCGAAGAATAAAATAAGAACTCAAAGCTTTAGAACTTGCAAATGCTATAATATATAATTCGTAGCCAAGTCAGACCTTAGGCTTCAATATATTATCCTAACTTGGCACCCATTTAGATCTCACTTCTTTGTCGTTGAAGTCAACAACCAAGGCATATATTATAGTATTGAACTTGGCTCTCATTTTACATATACGTTTTTGGTGGGATATATCATTACTTTTTGTATGTAAATTATTATAACCTAACCTAACCTAGCCATGACGTATTCTATAAATAAAGTTTATTACTATATAATATAATTCAGTTACTAATATTAATAATAATATTTATTATAAAATATTTTCCGTTGTATATACAGAGTATAAAATATATGTAAAATTAATATACAATTATTTTAACTCTTTTTGAGTATATTTTTAATTATCATAATTTTATTGACTGTAGTTTCTACTGTTGGGTGGATAATTCATAATTTGTAAGAATAATTATTTAATTATTTTAATTGTAATATTTAAAAAAAATAATATTAATTACATACATAGATAGAAAAAAAAGTATGTTGCTGCAGCGCGCGGGTCGACAATATCGACACATATTCGGCTAGTCGTATTTTTGGAGCGGCGATACGGGAAAGGTAATTTAAGTCAACATTACATTACATTACATTAAATTAGAGGCAATTCATTAATAAATTGAAAAATTAAACATAATAGATAACATAATTGCAAAATTATAATAAAATCAATTGATTAAAAAATTAAAAATTAAAAATTTTCAAGTTTCTGATTTTTTCCTTTGTATTTACCTAACTACCTATCTGTATGCCAAATTTGAACTTTCTAGGTCATCTGGAACTGGGTTAGAATTTTGATCTATAGGTAAGTCAGTGATTCGCGGCAGTAATGCGCAAGCAATTCCCGCGACGTCGTCGGTTCAAAAACGAAAAAAAAAAAAAAAAAAAAAAAAAAGGTAAGTCAGTGATAAAAATGACGATTTTCGGACGTTAATATCTAAATAACGGTTTGAAGTGTGTTTATGAAATTTAGAGCACATATGTATCTCGTTAGTCTCAATTTATGAGCCAAATTTGACATGTTTATGTGGAATAGTTTTTGAGTTATGAGGGGGTCAAAAGTGGCTCCAAATGGTTCGTGTAATATTACACACGGTGCTGCTCGCCAGTTCTGTTAGCTAGAACTTGGCTTGACACGCTACCGCGTGTCTAGATTAAAAATTAAGTTTAATAAAAATAAATATAAATGTGTATATTTTGTTATGTCTACTTCTATAATTTGTAATAATATAAAATAGTTATTATAATTTTGGTTATGATAACATGAGATGTTTTGTAAAAAGAAAAAAAAAAGGTATTCAACAAAAATTGGTAGAGGGTCCGCGATTTCTAAAAATCATTCATCGGGGGTCCATGTTTTACAAAAGGTTAAGAACCGCTGTTACCATTTGATTGTCAAAACTACCTGTATTACTGTTTAAATAAATAAAAAAATATTTTAAAAGCCACAGTTGCACAATACAATGTGAACTAATATTGCAACATTGATCAATGCATATAAACACAATCAATGGACAAACACATCAATACATAATTTTTAAGAAGAGCACAATAACTTAACATTTATTAGATTGTTGAAAAATGTTAAAACATTCACATATTATTTAATTAAAGTCTACATAATAAAATTATAGTTGTTATACAATATTTTACTGGTAGTTAAATTTTATTTTAAGTTATAAAATAGACAAATGAAAATTACTTAATAATTAAATTAACCTAAGTCAGTTAAATAGACATTAATTAAGAATTTGCAAAAATTACCAACCTAGTTGACAATATTATATGAATATACAACACAAATTATGGTTAATGATAAAATATTTTACAACTTAAACTTAATTAATAAAAAAATATACCTTAACACGTTGACGACTAAACAATTATTTTTTAAGATAATATTATCTTAAAAAAATCTTCAAAAACACGGTCTTCGTCCTAAATGTGTTAAATATTGTTTCTAATATATGATATATATTATATTGAAATTAGGGCTGGCGGTATTTCAAATTTTGATACTGGTATCCGACATTTCTTGCTCATTCATATGTTTTTTCCACCTAGATATCAAGTTATATTCTTCTTTACACTATTGACATTTGATTTTATCTTTGACGTATAGATTCAATCTTAAGTTTACTAATTTTAGATTATTACATTAGTATGTTTCTTACTTTTTAATTTGCATTGTTTTTTGTAGTGGTATTTTAAATGTCAATTCCATTGATATTTTAACTGATTAACTTGTTTCCTGCTCAATACTTAGAACAGGGCTATTAAATTAAGTGGGGAAATTGATACACTTGATTGCTATTTGTTTATTTTACGTCGACAATGTTCTCTGACAGTAGATTGAAAGAATGCTTTCCGTTTCATACGAATTACCCTGTTGCAATTTATGTCTTCTGAATGGTCTGTTGAATAAAATAATGGTTCTTCCTTCATATTCATTATTTTGCTTTGAATTATTTGTGATGGAACCGGCTGGTGTTGTATTTGAGGATTCTCATTGTCCAGCGGCATTGAGGGCCCTGGAGTTATAGGAGAACTAAAACTGTTGCTTCCTAAACCGTTTTGATCTAAACTATTTCTGTCCATCGTATAAGATAAGATTTCAGTTTGCCCTGGATTTGAAATAATATTATTGCTTGGGATATAGGTGTGCAGAGTAGTCGATACAATTGTTCCATTCCTTTGAAGTAAATTAATATTGTTTGTACTATTTATTTCCCTTAGATTTGTTTGAAAGTTTGTTTCTTGTTTAATATTAAGAACAGGGCTATTGTTGCTTGCTTGTGAATTATGTGGGGCAATTGATACACTTGATTGCTGTTTGTTTATTTTACGTTGAAAATGTTCTCTGACAGTAGATTGAAAGAATGCTTCCTGTTTCATACGAATTACCCTGTTGCAATTTATGTCTTCTGAATAGTCTGTTGAATAAAATAATGGTTCTTCCTTCATATTCATTATTGTGCTTTGAATTATTTGTGATGGAACCGGCTGGTGTTGTATTTGAGGATTCTCATTGTCCAGCGGCATTGAGGGCCCTGGAGTTATAGGAGAACTAAAACTGTTGCTTCCTATACCGTTTTGATCTAAACTATTTCTGTCCATCGTATAAGATAAGATTTCAGTTTGCCCTGGATTTGAAATAATATTATTGCTTGGGATATAGGTGTGTAGAGCAGTCGATACAATTGTTCCATTCCTTTGAAGTAAATTAATATTGTTTGTACAATTTATTTCCCTTAGATTTGCCGGAAAGTTTGTTTCTTGCTTAATATTAAGAACAGGGCTATTGTTGTTTGCTATTGAATTATGTGGGGCAATTGATACACTTGATTGCTGTTTGTTTATTTTACGTTGAAAATGTTCTCTGACAGTAGATTGAAGGAATGCTTCCTGTTTCATACGAATTACCCTGTTGCAATTTATGTCTTCTGAATGGTCTGTTGAATAAAATAATGGTTCTTCCTTCATATTCATTATTGTGCTTTGAATTATTTGTGATGGAACCGGCTGGTGTTGTATTTGAGGATTCTCATTGTCCAGCGGCATTGAGGGCCCTGGAGTTATAGGAGAACTAAAACTGTTGCTTCCTAAACCGTTTTGATCTAAACTATTTCTGTCCATCGTATAAGATAAGATTTCAGTTTGCCCTGGATTTGAAATAATATTATTGCTTGGGATATAGGTGTGCAGAGTAGTCGATACAATTGTTCCATTCCTTTGAAGTAAATTAATATTGTTTGTACTATTTATTTCCCTTAGATTTGTTTGAAAGTTTGTTTCTTGTTTAATATTAAGAACAGGGCTATTGTTGCTTGCTTGTGAATTATGTGGGGCAATTGATACACTTGATTGCTGTTTGTTTATTTTACGTTGAAAATGTTCTCTGACAGTAGATTGAAAGAATGCTTCCTGTTTCATACGAATTACCCTGTTGCAATTTATGTCTTCTGAATAGTCTGTTGAATAAAATAATGGTTCTTCCTTCATATTCATTATTGTCCTTTGAATTATTTGTGATGGAACCGGTTGGTGTTGGATTTGAGAATTCTCATTGTCCAGCGGAATTGAGGGCCCTGGAGTTATAGGAGAACAAAAACTGTTGCTTCCTAAACAGTTTTGATCTAAACTATTTCTGTCCATCGTATACGATAAGATTTCAGTTTGCCCTGGATTTTAAATAATGTTATTGTTTAGGTTATAGGTCTGTGGAGTAGTCAATACAAGTGTTGAATTAATTTTAATCTACAAAATCTGCATTTGTACATGAGATTGAATGTGACTATTCAAAAAAAATTTTAACTTAATTTTAACTGTTTTCCACAAAATATACATTCATTAGTTTTATAATTTACTTGTCATTTGTGTTCGGCCAAGTGATTTTTAAAAGGTAATTTAAATCAAAGCTCCTTCCACAAATATAACAATGCTATATATTATCACTTGTATTTCCATGATTTAATTAAATATTATTATCAGCAACATCCTGCAAAATAAAAAAAAAATTATAAAAAAATAATTAATTAATGTTCATATATTTAAGATATTCTTGTCGTATGATATCTACCACAAATACCCGATCCACCAGTCTTAACGCATAGTTTTCTATGCGATCTACCACTAAAATACTACCGTAAGCAATCTATACTCTATTCCAAATGAGTTTGGTTCGTGCCCGTGCAGTATCATTGGCTGGTGTCGGCCAATTGGGCAAAATATACATAATTAATAATATAATATTATAGACTCATTCATTTTTAAATATTACTTTGAAGAATGGAATTAATTTTATATTTAATAAACTTAGGATCACTATCAATGACTTTGTATAGGTACAATGTTTTAAATCTATTTAAGAGGATGTCAGCGCACTATTAGTTTTCTTTCTCTGGCCCACGAGCAACATAGACAAAACAAATTTACGCGGAATCGTTTTTTCTATGTTTTTAAGTAATCTTAGAGTAAAATCATCTATGACAAGAAAAATTTCAAAAAATATTTTAGAGGGAATGACATAACGATTTGTCTAAATACTGTCTCAAAACAATTTAAACATAATTTTAATTTACAACATTTTTTTGTTTATTTTAAAAGTCAAATAACAATAAAATATAAAAACGATATGTCATTCCCTCAAAAATATTATTCTCTATATTTTTTGTAATTAGTGATTTTACTCTAAGATTACTTGAAAACATAGAAAAAATAATTCTGAATTAATGCGTTTTGTCTATGTTGCGCGTGGGCCAGAGAGAGAAAACAAATAGTGAGCTGACATCCTCCATATGTTAAAAGTTTATATTATAAGAATTTATTATTATCATTTTATAAATTTAGAATTAACACTGTTGATATTAGCCATATTTATAATACACTTTACAAATTAAATATTAATTTAAATGTACCTTTTTACCATTAAAATGTTGGCATGAAAAGTTCTTTTTCAAGGTCAATCAAACTATGTCGACTACTTAGAATTAACTTCTATAATTTGAATAATGCACCTAATTGCTCTGAAGTTGTAATTAAATACTGTTGATCTTTCTCAAATTAATTTACGAACAAATACTTATATTTAATTAGTATTAGAAATGTTTAATTGTCAATAACTTAATTCAAATTATAACTTCCCAACACAAGCCATGGTAATAGTTAGGGTAGTTGCAAATCTTTGTACTTTATATTATACTTAAACTTGAAATGATTCTTGATTTGCAAGCCTCAAGCTATCATCATGTAGGCTCTACATTGATCAGTTAGTGAGTTAGTCCGGATATGTTTGACTATAGGTATATTATATTATAACCATCCTACACGGTGTTGTCCGTGAGAAACGCTTGTGATTATGCAAGCATTATATTTTCAAGTAGGCAATCCTTTTATGGTTGATTGCAGACCCCGTGAGAAACGAATATAATTATAAATGTATTATTAACACATTGTTTCCAAGACAATGGTGGAAAAATTAGCGTTAAGAATAGCATTTTTACTAAGTTATGTTGTTATTTTTATTTTGACCAAATATAATATACAGGTCTAAAATTATATTCAATCACAAACAATAGCAACCCTATAAACAAAAATATATTATTATTATCTGTTATATTTTTGCAATCAAGATTTTCTACTTTTCCTAAAATTGTTTTCATACAAATCTTGTCCTGACAATTACGAACACAACAAATTAAAATCAACGAAATTAGTAAAGGGGTTCTCAAGTTATGGTGTGACTAAGCAAAATACAAATTCATTTTTATATGTATATTATAAAAATTAGCTATTGTATTATAACATACAAAAATTAAAAATGTATTGTACTTAATTGGATCTATGATCCATTAATATATAATAATTAATAATAATAATAATAATAATAATAATAAAATTGTTCATGACAGTGATTATTGCAATTATTTTAAAATAAAATGTTTAGAGATGCTGCCATAGATTAATAAGAATTACTAATAGAATTATCAAGTTAAATTTTATAACATTTTAAAACTGACTTATAAAAGATAAAAACCTAGGTACAAAACTAGGTAACAAGAAATGTGTTTTTGTTAAAGTTTGGGAATAAGTAAATTTATTTCATAAGAGCATGCAAAATAAGACTTTGTGAGTAGGTTTTTGGGTTGAATGTGATTAGTTTTGAACTTATAAAATCATAATATTCATTGCATATTTCAATATTTGTATAACGGCTATAAGTTCATAAATGAGCGTATACGGTATACCCCATAATATTTTTACGAAAACACCACGGGTTGTTAAGATATATTCAAGTGAAAAAAAACAATAAATTGTTTCTAATAATGTATCCCGAATACATCATAAAACATCATAAAATGTAAATGAATTAAAATATATCAATATAAATAATATACGTATGATATTCTAGTTAAACTGTGGTAGAAAGCATTTTATATTATGTCAAGTGAAAACAAGCGATAAACCGCTTACGACAAGAATAATGTATTTTAAAAGGATATTACCTGGAATTCCACCTAACTCCACATTTTTAGGACACAGTCAATCGTAGTTTCGGACGTTTGGTTTGAGTATTGAGCGTTCGAGCAGGTACAGTCGTCGCAAAGCAGGTTGTGTTCAAAGCCGATGTCTGATCAGTGATCACATAATAATAATTAATAACCTATTCTGTGGTCTGGTTATACAAAAGGTCCGATATCAATTCAAACCGTAAACCTGGAATAATAGCAAACAGAAATTAAATACCATTAAGGAGTGTTGAGGACGGTTTATTACGGAAATGAACTTTCTTCTTCTTTGGTTAAACTGTAAACTAGGTACTTAAAATACCGATATTTGTTATTTAGCTGTTTATGGGATATCGAAAAAAGAACAGTAGCTGTTATTTATCATTGCTAATTAAACAAATCGCATTTTACCATAGCAACAGACGTGAGTGAACGCCGAACGGTGAACCTAAATACCTAACCTACAAAGTACAAGTACACGGCCACAAAAGAGAATATGGCCATGCAGTAACCACAGACTTCTATACTACACTAGATAAGGAACTCTTATACAATGTACATTGTTACAACCACGGACTAAGATATATCTTAGTCCGTGGTTACAACTTACAAGTGAAGCTCAGCTGTGAACGGCCGCCATTTTCTCGGTTGGCAAAACATTTCATTTATTATACAAAATGTATTAGGAATAATATTTTTTTTAACGGTCAAATAAAATAGTAAATGTAAAATGACTTATATAAAATATTTTTTTTTTTTTTGTAAACTTAATGTTTAAAAATAATAAAATACGATATAAAATAAATCATAATATCATCTTATTAATTGTCATATGAAATACCATACAATTGCCAACCGACCTTGAAGCTTCAATTCATGACCGGAGTTCGCTATCTAGTAATATATAGAAATCTGTGGCAGTAACTTGCCTGTTACTCTATATGCTGTTGACGCTACTCGCCAGTGTAGCCACAAGTCAAAAAGAGTAAAGGTCCCTACACTGCAGCAGCAGTGGTTACGGAAAAATGAGGCCGGACACAATTTTACCGCCACCGCTGCAGTGTGTGGGCGAGTATATTAATCAAAATTCACAACCGCTGAACCGCCAATTTATCGTTTATCGCATTTCGTCAAAGTTTATCGGTGGACGGTAATCAAATTTTGTATAATATACAATATTATTCTTAGATCATAATAATTATTATTATCTATGCGTATATTCATTATATAAGTTAGTAACGCTAATTTGCACTTTTTTAAAAACACCACATTCATGCATTCCCAATGAACAAGCTTACACTTAGTAACACTTTTACATAGTAGTCGATATATTGCTTCGATTTTCAACTTCAGTATATTGTTTGATGGGAAGTGATCTAATTGGTACTTTTGGGAGGTCAAAATTTAAAATAATTTTCAAAAGCGCCCAGAAAATCATAATAACAATTAAGGAAAACGGAAATGTTTTTTTTGGTGCAACTCTTAAACAGCTTCGAACAAGTGAATATCGTTGGTGCATTGGGGAGGACAAAATTTCAAAATCCCCGTAATTTTCAAAAGCGCCAAGAAAAACAAAAGAAAAATTAAGGAAAAACGGAAATTTTTACACAAAATCTTTTTTATAAAATCAATTTGGTTTTTTGGTGTAACTTTAAAAACAAATGATCGTAGACACATGATATTTTTACTGATGTTATACTAGCATTTTCTATACACGATAGAATTTTCAAAATATTATGATTTTTGTTTTGAACTGTTAAGGAACATTTTCATTTTTCATTTTTTTTTAGTTTTTTTTCTAAAAATATCAATAAAATGTTATTTGTTGGCAAAAAAGTGTAAAAATTTAATACAAGGCTCCTGATATATTGTTACAATATCAGTTGAAAAATATTAAAAATACATATTCACAATTTTTTTTATAAGCATTTAAAGATTGAATTTTGACCAAATTTATCAAATTTAAAATTGTTTAATTATTTTGTAGTTTAAAAATTATAATTTGTTCAACTTTTATATCTAAGGATTTAAAATTTAAAACAAGATTCCACGTAAGTGGTTAATTCTGTTACCAAAAAATCTAAAAAATACTGAAGCCCAGTTTATTTTTATAGTCATTTTATGTTCAAATTTGGACGAAATTACATAACAAAAAACCTAGAATAATTATTTTAGTTATTTTGTTGTGATTGTATAATATTATTCTTGTTTACTTGAAACTTCTAAAGTGTACTATTATATATATATGGTAGTATCAGGGTTTGTTGTTGATGTAAAACGCGTTATAAGTACCTAATGGATATTGTGATATGATTAATTTGGAATTCATTATAGGTCAATTTTTTTTAATACCATAAATAAGTATAT